GAATCTAAAGTACTAGAAATGGGGTAATATTCTTCCCATTTGGAGTCTTCTGAAGCAATATTAGTCGGGGGGACTTGGAACAATTGTAAATTGTTCATCCCACATGCACAGGAATCTGGTTGCAACATGAAGTCTGTCTACTAGGATTGATTTTTCACAAATGAAGGTCAATATCACTCGACTCCCCTATTTATAGTCTCTCAATCAAAGATATCTAAAGGACGTGTTTTCTTAGTCTGAATTCCTCCTTGTTTTTTTCTTTTTCTCTTAGGACCTCCTCGGGCTAACACAGGTGTCTTTTTTCTTCTTTTCTTAGTACCTCCTAGATTCATTCTTTGTTTCACCATTCCCGAAGTATTTTTCAGGGCTTGTACTCCGTGAGTTTTGACAGCGTCTTTTAAAAATCTCTTATTTTCTAACACGTCTAACCCCGTTCTAGCAGCAGCGGTCAAGGCATGTTTAGCTCCCATTTTCAGTAAATCTGTAAAAAAATCCTCTGCCTCTCTGTCGTCTTTTTCTTCTTATTATTTTAATCACCATTCCCGATCCCCTCTGTTTTTTCATTCTCTTTCTTCTTCTTTTCTTAGTACCTCCTAGATTCATTCTTTGTTTCACCATTCCCGAAGTGTTTTTCAGGGCTTGCACTCCGTGAGTTTTGACAGCGTCTTTTAAAGATCTCTTATTTTCTAACACGTCTAACCCCGTTCTAGCAGCAGCGGTCAAGGCATGTTTAGCTCCCGATTTCAGTAAATCCGTAAAAAATCCTTCCCCTCTTTGATAGTTTTGGGGTGGATAATAATAAGGTGGGGTGGGGGTGGTTGCTGTTGGCCTCCTCCAAATAATCCTCCTATTAAGGGAGCTGCTACTTTAAACAAGGATCCTAAAATACCGTGTCCTTTTTGACGTAATAAACCTCTGTGATAGACAAACTGTCCGTGTCCTCTTTGTCTCAATAATCCGGGATGATACTGCATGTTTCATGACTCGTGTCAGACTGACCTAAATGCACTCAAGTGACTCCTTTTTATACCCCTCTCTTAGGGTTGAATACAATACAGACAGCATACCAGACAAGTCATCACTCCCAATAGGATGTAACAAAAAAGCTGTACACTCATCTCAGTACACTTTTCTGAAATGAAGTTTCACGACCGATTTTCCACTTAAAAAAGGCATGGGAGTCCCTAAAGGAGTCATGATATGAATCTCAATGCTATCGAAATGTTTTTTACTCAGTTTCAAATATTCCGCTCTAACGGGTTCCCATTTAGCTTGTTTTTTATCTTCCAGATTGAGTGTACAAGGAACCACTCTTAATAATTTCAAGGCATTGGATCCTACCGTCTGGGGTTCAATCAAGTCACAATACACGTACATGGATTTCAGATTTTCATATAAATCTACGGTATTGTTACCCATGTAACTAACGTTGATCCATTTGGTTTCTGTATTGTTCTGAAGAATCACCTTCTTACTTTCTATTCCTAGCTTATAAGCTAAGGCTGTGGGGAAACGAATGCATAAGGGATATTTTTTAAGTTCTCTCCCCGTAAACTGATACATCACTTTATCATATTTGTCATGATAGGTTTATTTCATGGCATTCTCTTTTTTAGAATCACCCTCTTTTTTAGAATCACCCAAAAACTTCCATAATTTTTTCAAAGTTCTTTCCAGTCCAAGACTGATTTCACTTGTTAAAGCCATGGGATGAATGTAAGGCCTCGGTCTAAAGTGAATTCGCTTAATTTCCATCTTCTGGTCTTTCGTTATGAGATTAGCAAATTCAGTATGGTCCCAATCTAACAGTACAGGACATTCGCTTAATGGCATCGCCTCTATGGTTTTCATTTTAAATCTATCCCATTTAAACACATTAGGTTCTTGGACTTTTGGAGCATAAAACTGAGGAAGTTTCCTCTTCTGTGATGTTTTTCAATGAAATGGGATACATCAATTCTGCTAAAGCCACTTCCCATTGTCCATCTGTTAAATCTACTGTTTGTGGTAATAAGGTTTACCTTTGGATCTGAGCAGTCGTATTACTCGGAAAAGATTGCATGGACCCATCACTGGGTAAAGTCATGTAAAAACCACTGCTCTCGGCCATGTTCAGTGAGATACTGAGACAAAATAACTTAGGACCCTTCTATTTATAACAACACTTTTTGTTTTTTGTTTTTTTTTAAATTTTATTGAGTCTATTTTTTTTTTTTAATACACTTTTTCTTCTTCTTCTTCTGATCTGTAATCAATCACTCTGTCCAAAACACCAGGTCCTTCCTTTTCCATATTGTCTTTGATCTGGGAAAAGGGGATGCGACAATACACGTACTGTCTAACGTCGTAATAATCTGGAAATGTCAGTTCTTTTTTCTTCATCTTGAAAAAATGTCTCACACACTCTTCTATGTCGGAGTACCAGAGACTTTCGTTCAGAACCAGGGTCATCGGTGTCGGACGATTCATAGGATGAGTACAACTGACCCATTTATATTGCTCGTAATGCTGGTTGAATTTCACCCTCACTCTAGTTCCTTTAGGATGCGGGATTTTGACTCTTTTTTCCAACCACACGTTTTCCGGGGAATGTCCTGGATGATTTTCAAAGAAATCCAGGATCGCTCCTACTTTAGTTTTCATCCACCCTCCTTGCATGTAAATAAACTGAGTGACGGGGTTCTCACAATACCAACGATACTGCATCTTTAAAACACGTCTGACTTGGACACTGAACTTTTTCAGAATAAATGATTTTTTTTTTGGTCATACCTCTTTATATAACCTTTTCATCAAATCTATTTTTAGCATCTCAGGAAAAACCCAACAACAGTTTTTTTTGATTTTATGATTTATTTCCTTCATATCTACATAATGGACAAAGTCTGTAGCAAATCTTGACGAAGTTCTCGATACATTTCAAACAGCATGGATACTGTCGGCATTGTTGGCACTTCCATCTCCCCTCCGTATTTTCCTCCCAGCAGGTCAGGCATTTCTTTAAGGCTCTCTTTCTGGTCACTTTGACCCATAGGGGCACCATATTCTCTGCCCCGTACTTCCATGTGAAATATTTCACGCACCAGCTACATCCACAGGTCTCCATGGAAGGGGGATCATCCACAAACCAGTGAGGAAAAGGCATTTCACAATGCTCGCAAATTTTATAACTTCTGTGATGCCATCCGGGATAATCATACACCGTAAATGTACGCTCATGGATCATCTCCCTATCACAGTAATGACAGTAATACTTTTCTACCTGAAACAAATACCTCAGTCTCCACATAAAAATCATGATGAAATGTGGTGGTGAAATTTTTTTTTTCAAAAAAGCTCAGCTTTAAATACCTTTGGATCTGACTATTTATAGTCGCTTTGGAAAAACCCACACGTGCTTAACACGTTCTTACTCTATTTAAGTCTATTGGTTTTTCCAAAGTCTAAAAATAAATTTAAAAAAAAAACCCAGGTTTTTACCTAGGCATAGACTTGGCACCGATTCAAGTCCGTCAAGCTGCCTATTGTGACGTCATCACATGTATTCAGCTGAGAAAATAAGACCTGGTTTTTTGTTTTTGTTTTTTTATTATTATTATTATTATTGTTCAAATCGACACAAGGGACAATTTCTGTAAGAAAGCCGTATAATGGACTTGTAACACTTTTCACAGCAGGGATATTTCATACACTGTTGACATTTCCATTTTCCTTGGGTGTTTTCTTCCCAGCAGGAGGGGCATCTTTCGATCTTGGTATTTCTTCTCATGCGCTTAGCCCAACGTGGCATCATAAAATCATCCCCATATTTCCACAGGTAATATTTCAGGCACCAATCACAGCGACAATACCACAAACTAGGGGGATCGTCTACTTCCCAGTGAGGTATACGTTCTCCACATTCATTACATCCCCAATACCAACCAATAAGGTCATCGTCACTGTCATACTCAGGTAATCTGCTGATCTCTCTCAACTGCCTATAGCAATGAGGACAGGCACTATTTTCTTGGTGAAGAAAATACGACATTCTCCACACAGAAGGCATGATTGAAAAAAAAATGAGCACAGTGAACTCAAAGTTAAGATTTATATACCTGGGATATCTATTTTTAGTCCATGCGGAAAAACCAACAACACCAGAATTTTTTTTCTTAGGTTTAATTCACAACAACAATAACATTAAAATAACAAACATGGAATACTTTGGCATAGTTCTTTTTGAATAGAAAAGTTCTCCTCATGTACAAATATTCTGTTTCACAAGCACAGTCCATGATGTCGTATCCTTCTCTGAGCACTTTGTTTACATAATCTTTGATACAATCTCGGACTTCTTCCATCCATTTTCCTTTAATCCAGGTCCTTGCTGGTGCCTCTGTTTTGTTAGCCAAAACGTATTTGACTTTCCATTTGAATTCCTGATACTGGGGTTCCCATGACCCTAATAATAATACTATGAGTTGTGCACATTCATGGTCCGGTAATTTGAATCTCTTATACAGGTACTCATCATTGAGTCCTGTTTCTCCATGATTCTTATCCATGAAATCTTGGATACATTCCTCTTTGTTTTTCATCCATTCTCCTTTTTTAGTGGAACCTGTATGCTCTTGCATTTTCCAACGATACTCTGAGCTTAAAAATTCCATGTTGCTCTGTCCTCAGTCAGATCAGAAATGAAAAAAAATCTTTGTTGTTTCCCCATTTTATATATACTCTGTGGTGTATCTAATTTTTTTTTTTTTTTTTTTTTTAAAGACATTAACTCTGTGCATTCGTGGTCTTCTTAGGGGTAGGTGTATGATGCATCATCGTAGGACTAGGCATGATATAACCCACTGAAGTACTCACACATACCATCCAATATTCTCTATTAGGATCGTGTAAAGCTAACATGACCACACTGGTGACGATGAGAGATACACAGATCAATAATTGTGCGAAATAAACCATTTCTTCTCGGGGAACATTCTCTCCACAAAATTTCCAATGAGGAGTTATTTGATGAGATCCGTTTGGGGAATCCATGAATCGAAACTAGGGGGATATCCTTTCCACCGAACTTTGACTTCTTGAATGATTTTTTTCCCTACGCGTCGCTTTTTATACCGCAAGATTTCCTCCACTTCGTACACGTCGTCTTTCTTAATGATCTGTTGTAATTCTTTTTCGTAAAAAGTCCCTTCTAATTCCTCTCCGTTATAATCTTGCACTCTATACACGTAAGGATACCTTCCAGGAACTCTTTTAGAAATGGTAAACAGTTCTGTGATCCAATTAGGTAAATATCCTTTTTCAAATGTGCGTTTGGCTTTACTGATGCGTACCTGATCTCCTTCTTTAAATTGAGGTTTAGGAAACTGTTTCCGATTTGATTTCCCATATAAAGTTTTCCAGACTTTTAACACATTAGAAGGATTCACTTGAGCTGGTGTTCTTTGGATACTGCGATGATAAGTGTGATTGTAAGCATACACTAAATCCGGTAAGATCTCTAAATACCGTCTGGTTTTATGACGAGTAAAATAACGCCACATGCGTGCTTTGAGTGTACGCTGAAATCCTTCCACGATACTGGCTTTAGTGTCCGTATTACGAGTGGTAAAAAAATGAATGGATTTAAAAGCTTGTAAGAATTCTCGATTGGTAAATTCTTTTCCTTGATCCGATTGAATGCGGACGGGACGTCGACCGTCTTGTTGAAAAATCTCTTGTAATCCTCGAATCATTTCTTTTCCCGTTTTCTGTTTTAAAGGCACTACCCAGGCATATTTAGATAAGACGTCAATGGCACACAATAAAAGAGTATAACCGTCATTGTGTTTCTTTAAACTGGACACATCTGCTAAATCTAATTGCCATTGTTCGTCTATATCCGTCACTCTAGTCTGTTGTCTCCGGAATTTTCTGTGAATGGGTTTATGTAAGGTATACGCATCTTGCTCTTTTAACCATTCTCGTATCTTTTTTAAGGAAATCTTATGTCCCAGACTTCTGACCTGACGATACAAAGCTTGTATTCCTCCGTACCCTCTTTTAGGATCATAATAAATCTCTTTTAAAATGTCTTCCACTTGTTTCTTTTTCATATTTTAGGTAATTGAAGCCAATTTTCGTCGATTTGTTCTAATCTCTTTTTAGGTAAATATGGATTGAATTTAGATTTTTTGATGGCCTTCGCTAAATTTAACAGAGGTCTAGGAGTGGATTTTTTTATTCCTCTATCTCCTACAGGTCTACTAATAGGGGTCAAAAATGAAGAAGCATCTTTAAATCCACTATCGCCCTCGTCCTCACTATCACTGAAGATACTTTTAGGAGTACTGATTTTTCCAGGTCTCTGCATGGCTTTTATAAGGTTTTCATTGCTCACGTATTCCAGAGGAGTACGCGTCTCTTTTAAAGCTTGAGCAAATTGTTCTAATCCTGTAGGAACCGGATGATTTTTACGAGAACGAGATCTCATACTATCAGCCACTAAATCCACAATGTTAGAATCGGGAACTTTTTGTCCTCGATAACTAATTTCACCTTCTTTATTCCAACTCAACACCTTGGTTTTCTTTAAATGATTTAATAATAATCCAGCTTTTCTTTTCATGTTTTTATTCACTGTTTCAAGGATTTCGTCTTCAATCTCAGCTGGGGCTGCTGGTGATGCTGCTGGGGCTGGAGCTGCTCCTGCTGCTGGAGCTGCTGCTGCTGGAATTTTCGGTTTAGAAATAGGTTCCTGTCTAGCTTGTTGTAAATAATTCCTATATCGATGAAGTTCCTGGCCATATAAAGCGACTTTTTCTTCTGGGGTTAAATCTTCACGTCTTGTAATCTCGTCCAATTCCTGACCTAAACTGATAGTTGATTGAAATTCCGGAGGTTTGGGTAATTTTGCCTTGAGATCGTTCAACAAATGTGGTAAGGCTAACTGTCGACTCAAGATACTGATTTGAGATTTGTCTCTGGGATTTTTAAACAACACTAAATAATGAGCATTCAAACTAATGGTGCGATGCTGTGGTGCCCGATCAAATAAGTTCTGAGTGATGTAAATCACACTGGTATTCCGATGATGCGCTTTACGGGTAAACCAATCCACGATCGATTCGATGGCTTTTCCTCCCATCATGTCGTCAAAAATGAGTAAGTGAGGAATAGTTAAATTGGCCACTAATTTCTCATCGTCTTCTGGAATATTTCGAATGAAGGAGACCCGATCTGTTAAAGAAGTGTAAGCAGGTTGCCATTCCCGATAACACCAGACAATTTTTTGTGGCATGGGGGTAATCCAATGTAAATTTTCCACTAATTTCTTGACAAATTCGGTTTTCCCCGATTTAGAAGGTCCTGCTACCACCATGGTAAATTCGTGTTTCAATTGAAAAGACGGGAGTGTCTCCTCAGGTTGCATGATGACAAATGAAGAGAAAAATAGGGTTTCAATCCTTTTTATTGATAGTCAACACAGAAATATACGTTGGGTTCTCTTCACATCGGCTCGACAGATGGGGCAATACCGGAAGGTGGGAGCACATAATGAACAGCAACATACGTGTCCACAAGGGAGTAAAGCCATTTGTAATTCTCCCTCTAAACAAATGTGACATTTTCCTGTTGCCTGAATCTCTGTAGAGGTTTGGTCTAGTAGAGGTTTAATTTCAGGTGAAAGTTTGTATCCCACCCGGAGTAAATGGTTAATGAATACATTCATCACCCACTCACGCCCTTCATAGGTATTGATGTAAGGACAATTAGGGTTCCAATAAGCATGTTCTACATAAGGATCGTCTGTAGGTTCCCAGCAGTTTAAAGTCATACCACAATGAAAACAGATGGTCTTATCACTCACTCCTCTGTAATAAAATCCGGCTTTGGGTAAGTTGGGTAATAATCCTTTTAAAGACTCGGGCCATCCATCATCATCAAAGATAGCTTCTCTCTTTAAGAGCAGAGCATATTTAGGGTAAACAGGAAGGTAGCCTGGCTCCTTATCAACACCAGCCATGACTGAAGTGTTATATTATTCCCCCCCCCCCTTTTTATAACCCCTCATTTTTGGGGGTTTTCCCCATAAAATAACAACACATTTAAAATACAGTTTTTTTTTTAATAACCATAAGGTAAAGTGTTATAATCTTCGATCAATTGTCTCTTATCATAGACAATTCTATATTGTTTTTCTAAAGGTATTGTCTTGACTTCATGTTGACGAGTCCTCTGTATTTTGTAGGGATACGAGACTTGGATTTCATCAATTTCTTTCTGGAGCATTTTTTCTAAAGTCTCTGGTGACACGATCTGAGAGGCCCGATAATTGAGAGTCAATCCTTTGACTTTACACATGGATTTTCCCTTGGCTGTGAGATAAGCATAATTTTTGGGGCCTCCTGACATGAATTTGATAATGTGGTCCCCGTCTAATTCGTCTGTCCATTCTCCTAAACTGTTGCCAAGGGTAGGATTAAATTGTCCCTCCTTATGTTGGTATATGATACTGTCCGTGTCGAAATAAAGGACCCGATCTCCCAAAGGTTGTAAAGTCTCGTAAAGGTGTAATCGGGCATGGGCTGTAGTGAAACAGGCCAGTACCACGTTTCCGAAGGGACACTCTTCCACAAATTCCTGTTTCTCTTGATAATTGACCAGCATCATGTCCGATTCAGCCTGCTCTTTATTTTCTAAGAGTTCTATCCCTTTGATGTCAATGGTCGAATCTTGTAAGAGTTGTTGTAATTCCTCTTCTTCGGTCAAGTATCGAGTTTTAGGTAATAACAGGCGTTGAGCGAATTTTCCCCACAAGCAATTTAAAAAGAGTTTGGCTATCGTTCTTCGCACCGGATTTTTTTCTATACTTAACAGGTCCATCCTGATCCCTTCTCTGTCTAAGACTTTACGAATGTAATCTAGTTTCTGTTCCTCCGTCTGACAATCAGGTGAGAATCCAGAAGCTTCCTGTTTTATCTTTAAGAAGGTATCGATGTAAGATCTGAATAAATCTCGACTGCTTTGTGAAAAATGCCAAACTTCGTAAATCCGCTCTAAGGTATATCCCATGTCCAGGGCTTTATGTAATTCTGTAGTCACCCAGGTACCCGTAAGACTGCGTTCCTGGTCTGCGTGTTGACATCGATGTTTAGAGGTAGAGTCCTGTCGTTCCGCACACGTTCGACATAAGGGAAATAATAACTTGCCTCCCGTGCGATAAGGTAAAACGGGGTGATAGAGGCCTCGGGGTGGTAAGACCCGACAGTGAATGAGGCCGAAATAAGTTCTCACGTCCTGGAATTGGTCTGTTATGATCTGAGGATGGCCTAGGGGGAAAAGTCTGTGTTTTAATACGTAAGGGTATAAGGAACAGACGTCCACGTATCTCATGCCCCCCTCCTCACAATATAATTTAGTGGCATTAGTCTGACCTCCGTACAGGGCTTCTCGGGGGTTCAAAGGATCTGGAATGTCCAGGTCTCGTACATAATTCTGTAGAGTTACCTCTCTTTGTATCTGTTGATTGAATTCGTGCTCCCAGATGCTACGGAGGGAGTACCCCATTTACTCTAAAACAGAACTCCTTAAAGTTTCCTCGTGTAATTGTTCATAGGTAAATTGGGTCCGGTGAGGATGACTTTCGGTCTGTAAATTCGGATAGCAGGTAGGGCATCCGTGCCAATAGCATCCGTAAAATTCGTAGACGTTGTGATTGGCTTCTTGGTATCCATCGACGGTATAACTTCCGATCTTGACTTCTCCCCCGTCTCTAGCATGTTGGATGTTAGATCCGCTCTGTTGACTCATCCAGCTTAACCACCGGCAGGCTTTGGCGGAATATCGACGCGCAGGCTGATACCCCAGGTTGGGAATGATGGCAATGGTCTCTTTGGGCATGAATCCTCGACGGTAAGCTAAATTGGCGGCACTGGCAAAAGTGATGGATTCCTGGAAGGGGTCTACATGGACCAAGCTCTTGAGGGTGGCTCTAAACTGAGCACAACATCGTCGTAAAATATCGACGTCCGAGACACAGTACTCTAAAAATTCCTTCTGGAAATCAAACACTTTTCCGGCTTGTTGTTCGTACCATTGGTAAAAAGCCTGTCGTCCACTTATAGACATGTCGTCCGGATTGTAGTAAGCTCCCGGTGGATAAGGCCCCACGTAATTCTGGTTGTGTTCCGTATTAAAAAAGTGTGGAAAATATCCTTTCTTCACTTCGGTGAATCCGAAAGCAGAGGGCATCTTGGACAGTGCAAAAGGTAAAAAATTATAGGAATCGATGAATTTCAGTCCGCAGATTTGCATGGATAAGATTTTACTGCCGTTCATGATGACGGTAGGTTTCAAGCAGGCGGAATGAACCAGGTAATTTAAAATGAACTGTCCGTCGTATCCTTTGAAATTGTGGGCGATGATGATGGCCTCGTCGTGTAATAAAGCGTATTTCTTATTTCCTGTAGTGGGTTGTAATAACCAGTCCATGAACTGCCTTAAGGTCTCTGGCCCTCGGAACACGTGTTGACGGGGTCCCATGTGTCGACAGTGAGGACAGGGATCTTCTATGGGTAAGTGACCGCAATGTTGACATACGCGGTGTGCCACACACAGGTTAGGGACGTGGATGCCGGTTTCCTGCGTACATTCGAAATCGAAATAGATGTAGAACTGTAAGGTCTCTTTGTCCTTCTTTTTCTTTTTCTCATGCTTGAGTTGAACGTAGCACTGATGATCCGTGTCTACGGTTTTCTTACAGATCTTACATTGTTTCTGTCCTCCGCAATGATGATGAGGGAGTAACTTTTTAGGCATCCATTTCTGACAGTGCCTACATCGTCCCATTAAACTGCATACCGTGGTGGCCGTATTGTTACTGTGAGGTTGCAGATGATTTACGTAGCAAGTCCTACTCTGAAAAAATCCCTGGCACTGGCTACATTGAATGCGGCTCCCGTCTGGAGGGCAGGGAGTGTCAGTTAAACAAAAGGAACATCGGTGAGGACACTGGGTACGATGCTCTGTGATGTTCCTGTACCCCACGTCGCAATGATCACAATAGTATTGATTGCCCGTCACACCAGTCATAGATATGATGACATCGTAATGATGGTCGTTTAACAGGACATTCAAACAAGTTCCCTCTCCGTAGCCTTTGTAAACGGGCTCTAAACTGAGTTTAGAGGAGGTGGACTTGAACTGGAATATTTTCAATCGATAGCGAGGGACTAACACTTGTTGTAATTTCCCCCATTCTTCGGGTCCACAAGGCAGATGGATATCACACCCGGCTTGTTCCATGAGAGCTATAGCTTCATTTTTCTGGTCATTAGCTCTTACATCTCCTTTCCGCATACGTAGCCATCGTTTTTCCCATTCAACTAAATTCTCTTGATTTTCCGGTTTTTGACTGTGTAACCGGGTGACTACGATGGCTCGAGCTAAACAAAACTTATCCCAGGGATTGTCGATCTGAACGATACTTCTTTTTCCCTTCTTAAAACTCTCCTTATTCACCATCAGGTGTTTGGTTTTGTCTCCACCACTCCCTTCTGGATACTTGACCCGAAACATGTCAAATTCCATGGCCCCGTCTCCCAGTTTAAAATCTTTCTTGGATTGTTGCACGGCTTCTATTTTGTCTAAAATGACGTCCTCGTTTAAATGTTTACATTGCGTAAACTCGTACCAAATGTCGGAATCCAGAGAAGGATGGCGTATGTTCAGGCGTAGGTAATCGTTAGGATTACACTGCATTTGATATTTGACATTTTGCAGCATGTCTCTAAATAATCGCCGAACAAATCCTCTGTTTTCCTCCTCTGGAAATTCCTTTAAATTCACACTGTAAACATCTTCTTTAGCTTTAAATTTTCTGTAATGCTTGGCTTGATTCAGTCTCACTTGATAATATTGAGAAATGGCCTTTGGCTTCTGGGGTGGTGAATGAGGTAGTGAGTGTGGTTCTTCATCCGACACAGTCCTTTGTTGTTCTTGTTGGGGCTGGGCTCTCTGCATTCTCTCTAATATTCTCGCATTTCTTTTTCTGAGCGCTAATTCTCTGTGTTTATTGTTGTAAATAATTCTTTCTAACTCTTTCGCCCGTCTTCTCCATCTCATCAGTTGTTGGGCATGTAACAGTTTTTTCATAGCAGAATCCATGTCGACAGTTGATGGAAATGACAACAGAATGAGCTTCAAGTCAGACACATGCAATACTTATACAGTGTATGACGTCATAATGGCTAGGTTTTTTCCAGGTGAGTGCTGAGAACGTGCAGGTAAGAATGCTCTGAGCGCGTGCGGGTTTTTCCAGATCTCACATCTCATGAATTTCCAGATCTCAGAAGGTGCTGAGCGCGTGCGGGTTTTTCCAGATCTCTGACCTTGACCCCGGGGGTGCACTGAGTTGACCCACCCATCCCCCCAGGGCCCAAAAGTGCACTCAGTTGACCCGCCTATCTAGGCTGCTTATACTACTAAGCATCCTAAGGTAGTGTAGATTCAAATGTGTTAAAATCATGATCCCGGGGTAGGGTGGGGCCACAATGCGGGATCAAAGTTTTATATTGGAATATATAAGAAAAATCTTTAAAAATCTTCTTCTCAAGAACAGCAAAGCCATGATTGGTCATATTTGAATGGAATCCTCAGGTAATGCAGATTCAAATTTGTTCAAATCATGACCCCCAGGAGAATAGAGGGGCCATAGCAGGGGATAATGGTTATACAAAGGAATGCAAAGGATTTATCAATAAAAATTTTCTTCCTAAGATCAGCAAAGCCATTACTTGTCATATTAATTCAAAAGCATTCCTATGAAGTATAGATTCAAGTTAGTTCAAATCAAACCGCCCCCCCCCCCCCACCACTTTTATATTTAAACTTTTCAAGACTGAACTGATTTCTGCTTTTCCCTAGCCAGAGTGCCCAGGTGAGCGATGTGGCCCCTGGACCCCTTGCTTTTGACTTCATAACCCTGACCTAGAATTTTGACCAATTCATTAAAAATTTTAACTTTGGCCATAACTTTTACGCCAGAAGAGATGAGGCTTTCACAATTTTTTTTTAAATGTGCATTACATGTGATAAGATCTCTTGGATTGTATTTTGATATTTGACCTCACGACTTCGATCTTTAAGAATGATGCAGTTATGAGAAGCTTTAATCTTTCCATAGCTGTTATTAATTCAATAATTTATGGGTTTTTTATACGTTGCTAAGACAAACAAGACAGTTACTAAATTTCATTAATAATTGCATTTTAGCCACAAGTACACCGAAATCGGGGGACCACAATTGTATGAATTTGCTTTGTCATATCCAATTGTTTCGTCTGAAAATCCTTAAACTTGATTGTAGTCTTGTATGACACATCGATGTCTTTTTCTTTATTCTTAAAAGAGTAAATCTTGTATATGCATCAGAAGAAAATTAACGAAGCAATAAAAACAATATCTCCCCTATACAGGGAAAGGGTTATACTAAATAAATATATTGCAAAAAATATACAGTCAAACTTCGCAAAGCGGACACCTTTATCCGTCACCTGATGCATGCGGTCATTTTCTTTCCTCGCGATGAAAAATCCTATTATGCGCTTCTGTATGTGTCGCCGTTAGCGGCATCAAATTCCACGTAAAATCGCCATTTTACCATGTCTATAGCTAACATTTTGGCAGATGACCCTAATTGTTGCCAAGTCAGGTGATTTCCAAATGTTTTGCTACTAATGTACACGCATAATTGAGCCATGGCGAGATCCAGAGAATTTAATCGGACTAATATCAATTTAAATGGTTGGGTAAGGAAATAAATTATTGAACAACACTACCAGGTAATTTCAAAAGAGTTGTTTAAGAACTGTAAGCAAGAATACTCATTTCAATTAAATAGAATGCCTTAAAAAGATGGTTGGAAAACCCTTACACTCAGCGAACAGTACGAGGCATTTAAATTTTCGTAATCAGGTTTAAGTGTCCGTGCTGTTGTTAGGTATTGAAGAAATACAAATAACGTTTTTTTTTAAACGTAAAACTGAAATCTTAGTGACATTGCTTCTAGAGATCAGTAACAGTAACACAAAACTGGTAATCTTTGATTGATTATATGTTGTTTTACGTCCCATTCGAGAATTTTTAACTCATTTACAGACGTCACCATATATTGGTGTAGGGCTTCAAATTGAGACCTATACTCGGCACTCAGGGCCATTGAGCAGTGAGGGTTCTTTATCGTGCCGATGCCTATCGTGACACGGGGCCTCGGTTTTTATAGTCTCATCCCAAAGACCCGTGACTTTCACTTCTACTGCCGGACGCTTGGCGAAAGAACAAAACTAATTATGAAGAAATCAATGAATTAACTTGGCGATGGTTCCAGGATGCCGTCTCCCGTGCCAGACCCCCATTATAAGAAAAAACACAAAAATGTGCCGTGGATTTAGATAATGTTCAAGCTTTGAATGGTTGTTTGTCTTTCATTTACAAAAGGCACAAGATTTTGTATAGAACCCAGAGTTGAGAGAAGGGATGTCAAAAGTGATGCTACGAGGGCAGGGGTT